AGTCACAAATAATATATAAATGTATGGGGGTGGTAGTGTGCCAGTAAAACTTTATTGACAAGTTCAATGGTGGGCTGGATTTGGGGTACAGTCTGCCTACCCCTGGTGTAGACCATCTTCTCTGTGGTAGGCATTTGGTGGACATCGTCACTCACCACTCAGCAGCCTTCTGATGGACCATTATCCTCCCTGTGATGCATTTGAGTAGGCTGAGGCCCAGAGAGGGTCAGCTGTTGCTATGGGTCACACAGCCAGCAAGGGCCAAAGCCAGGGTTCGACCCCAGCTCTTCCGGTTACAAAGTGTGAATTGCCTGGTCATAGAGAGTCACGGAAGCTCTTCAAGCCTCAGTTTCCCCACAGGCTGTCTCTAAAAGGCACTACTCAGTCTCTCTGTGACAGTAATTGCCTCCCAGGGCCAGTGGAAGATTAAATGTGATAGGAACTGGCACACGAGTACTGAAAGTTTTTTATTTGTTTGATGGTTGTTGGTTTATTTGCTTAGGAGGGTGGAAAGAGGAAAATAGATGGAGGCTTTCCATGGGGCTCGTTAAGGGCCCTGCACCCCTCACAATTCTCTAAGGCCCCCACATGGGCAGACTCTCTGAGGGGTCTGGTTCCTTTCATTCTGGCCAGGAGCCCCCCCCACTGGGGACAACCCCCTCCAACTCTAATCCCCACAGTGTGACTAAAGGCACTTTTGGTCCCAGGCTGGCATTTGTCACCTTGGTCTAGGGCATCCTAACAACTCCTTCCTTCAAGGAGCCTGGCTTGAATGGAAGAGGGTTTCCTGACCCTGTCACTCTGGGGTTCATTTTGGGGTGCTCAGACAGTTGAAGATCCCAGAATCCGTGCTCCTTATCCCTTGAGTATAACTCTTCCCTGTAGTCACAAAGGACCCAGGTCCCTTCTACACTTTTGCTCAGCCACTCTCAGCATGTTGGCTTTTAGTCCCTTTTCCTGGTGATTCCTGGTCACAAAGTGGCTGCCACTGCTCCAGGCCTCCTGGCTCACAGGAGCAGCATAAGCAGGACAGCGGGGAGAGGGCTTACATCTCATTGGCTAGAACTGTGTCACATGGCTGCTGCTAGCAGCAAAGGGACTGGGAAAGCAAGTATCTGGTGGGGCAGTGGGACAGCTATGACTCGACCAATCATGATTCATCTGTAGGTATGAGGCATGTTGCTGGCCCAGTAAAACTGATGTTTGGTAGAAATGGGGAATGGCTTTGGAGAGGACAGCCGGGAATGAGTGTGATGGGGGCCAGGGTAGCTGGAGAGCAGAGTGTGAGGGAAGTGTGGTGAGAGAGGTTGGAGGCCAGTTCACGCTGGGCCGTGATGAGGGTTGTTTTTAATCCTGAGGGCAATAGGGAGCCATTGAAGGGTTTGGGGCCAGAGCAGTAGCATGGCACAATTTGTGTGTCCAGAAGTTGACTCAGACGGTTGCTCCTAGGTGTTCTTTTCAGGGGGTCCTGCACCCTAAGGGATTTCACAAAGGAACCCCCAGTGCTTGCCTGGGCAATGGAACTTGACCACAGACCACAGAGGCTTTAGAACAAAAAGAAAACATCCAAGCTTGGCCCAGGTGGGCAGGGATTTGTCTCCAGGTCTGGGATTAGGGGCAGGAATGACCAGACACACTGTCCATCCTCACAAGGATCCAGAGGTCACATGACCGGCCAGACTGTGCCAAAGGGGCTGGATTTGAGGGCAGGCTAGGTGACCTGGCCCCCTTTCCCGAGCTTAGTGGGGAGACACGATGGTGATGGAGGGTGACCCAGGTAGGGATACCATCTGGCAGGAGCAATGGACCCCTTTCAACTAGCTGGGCTCTGGGATAAGCCCTTTGCATCATCCCACCTGGTTGCCATAACAACCAGGAGACGCAGCTTGTGGGAGAGCGACGGTGTTGGTAAGAGGTCGTGTTCACCGAGCGCTTCGCGTCTGCCCGGCACGGTCGGTTGGAAGAACTGCCTAGGTGTTGACTCTCTGGATCCTCCCAAGAGCCCTGAACATCTTTGATTGCTCCCTTTGTTCCCCTTCCTCTGTCCCCAACCACATCTAATCTATATGCAAAAGCTCTTGGTTGTACCTTGAAAATGTCTCCAGAATCTGACCTTCTGCCCATGGGCCTGCCCCCAGCGGGGCCAAGCCGCCATCCCACCTGGACTATTGCCCGTTCCTGTTGTCCTTCTGTCTCCTGCCCACACGCAGTGAGGTGGATCCTTTAAAAACTTCCATGCAGTCCTGTCCTCGCTCAACTTGAAACCCCCCAGTGGCTCCTCATGCCCTGAACGACCAGAGCCCCACCTGCCTCTCCTCCCCCACCTCCCACCCCACTCTGCTCCAGACTTTCCAGTCTCTTTGTTTCTCAGGTGCTTCAACCTGCCTCAGGGCCTTTGCACTCGCTGTTCCCTCAGCCTGAAATGCCCTTCCCTGTGGTATCTTTGTGACTTGCTCCCTCCTTCATTCAGGTTGTCCTCAAACGGCCCTCCTCAAAGAGCCTGCTATACCCTCCCTATCAAAGGGAACCCCACTTTCACTCTCTATTCCTCCTTCAACATATATATATATATATTTTTGTCTGCATCCCCCAACCCAGAATGTAAACTCTAGGCAGGGATTTTTGTCTCTTCTCTGCTGTATCCTCAACATGTACATGTAGAATAGTGCGTGGCACTGTGTAGACACCTAATACCAACTTGCTGTGTACGTGGACGACCCTGCAAGGTGGATACTGTCAGGTATCCCCACTTTATAGGTGTGAAACAGGCTCAGAAAGGTCCCCCAACTTGCCCAGGGTCACAGGAGCCTACAGGCAAGAAAGCCTATAGTTTAGCCCTTGGAGGCTGACCCCACAGCCCTCACAGTAGGCCCCTACTAAGCACCGCCTTTCACACTGTGTGTGTCTGAAGCAAATGGTTCTAGGCTCAAAATCTTGCTCCATGGTTACCAGCTGTGTGATCTGGGGCAGCTGTCTCACCTCTCTGGACTTTGCTCCTTGTCTGCACAGAGTGAACAGCCCTTCCTTCCAAGGGCACCGTGAGCATTCCAGGAAGTGAAGGTTGATGCAGAGCCTGGCCTCCAGCAAACCTCTGGCCATTGCTGGCTCTAGTTGCTCTCTCACTTTATAGATGGGGAAAGTGAGGCTCCAAACGAGCTCAAGGTCACAGGGCCTCTGGATTCAAAGGCGGGCCTGGGTGACTGTGAGTCTCCACCTGGGGGCTGAGCCCTCCCCACTCAGCCATTCCCGGGCCTGCTCCCGCGTTCAGCCTCTCTGGCTGGCAGCCCCACCCTTCCCTTTGTTCTGCTGTTGCTGACTGTAGGAGGGCAGGTGGCATTGCCCTGGCACCCGTGGGAGGCCGAGGCGGGCCACACACGGGTTGCTATTTGCTTTCCTCTCCACGGCCCCTTCCTGACCTATGCAGAGTTGGGCATGGGGCCAGGTGGGCAGGTGGGGAGGACCTGGCAGCCTGAGCCCCCCTCTAAGCTCCTTGGTGCCCAGAGCCTCAGTCTGGGCCCCCTGCAGGGCAAGTGGCCAATCATCCGGCTCTGGTCCGGGTTCCCTGGGAAGCAGGACTTGCAATGAGACAACCAGGAAAGTCCCCAGCACCCCAGGGCAAGTTGGCCACCTGCTCTGTGGGAGGCTGTGTGGGCAGCAGTGGGTGAGTTAACAGCTGAAAAGGGCTCAGGGTCAGCACCCTGTGACACTGTGTTCTCCCCGCTGGCCCTGCTGCCCTCATGGTCTTCAGCATCAGGCTGCCCTGAGCAGCATTCCCGCCCATCCCATATTAATGACTCAAGCAAATCATTTCAACTCTTGAAGCCTCAGTTTCTTATCTGGAAAATGGGAGTTAAAATTCCACCCCCTTCTCAGGAATACAGGAGAATCAGATGAGAAAGCAAACATGCAGCATTTAGCCAAGTGTGGATGCCTCATACACAAGAGAGTGTGTATGGCTATATTATTGGATCTCTCCTTAGTACCCAGCTCCCCACCACTCGAATAAAACCCAACCTCCAGACTCTAACATGGACCTTTGCAGCCCTGTGGTCACCCTGCATCTTCCACTCCCCTCTGCTCATTCTGCTTCAAGCTCACTGGCCTCCTGGCCAGCCCAGACTTGACTACACTTCTCCCTGCCTCAGGGCCTTTGCATATGCTGTTCCCTCTTCCTGCAGCACTTACCCCCTATTTCCCAGGGCTGGTTCCTTCTCATCTTTGGGCTTTAGTTTAAACATCATCCAAGCAGAGACACCTTCCCTGTCTATCTTATTTAAAAGGATGTTTTCCTCTTTGGGATAGGCTATTTCTTAGCTGGTTCACTATGATCCCCAAGGCCGGGGATGATGCCTGGCCTAGCGCAGAGCTCAGAACGTTCTTCAAGGGATAGGTGAGTGACATCAACCTGTGGAGGCCCCACCGGGCTGGAGAAAGAGCACAGAGTCTTAAATCCCTTTCCTTCTCAGAGCCTTGGTTTCCTCGTCTGTCAGCAGGGATGAGGGGCGCACCCAGTTCCCTGGTGTTTGTGAGCCTGGAGAAAGTGACAGAGACCAGCCTTTCTGCCCGGACTACATGCGTAGCAAGACTCACAGACAGTGGCTCTGCTGCCTGTGACCTGTGTGCACCCCCCACACCATGTTCCTCCCTGCGTACACAGGGGTACCTGCTGAACACACTCCGCAGGGATCAAGGCCCCAGAAGGGGTTGTCCCTGCCTGCCCTGTCCCCCTGCGCTGGGCAGCCCGGGCCTGCTGCCTCCCCCGAGCACAGAGGCCCAGTCCCGCCTCCCCTTCCTCCTGCCAGGAGGGGCCCGGCTGCCAGAGCTCAGCTGGCAGGCAGGCAGGCAGGCAGCTGACCCGTCACATGCCCACGGCCCTCGGGGGCGGGCTCCCCGCCGAGACTCCAGCACACTGTCAAAGCTGTCAAACAGTTTCCCTGCCAGATTTTTATAAGAATCCAAGGCCTTGCTGCCCATTGCCAAACACCCTCTTAAGACAATACCTCTGGGGCCCATGGGCCTGTGCCAAACGCCGCCGCCTCTTCTCGACCATATACGGGCAAGAGCCGGGGAGTCCCTCTCCCATCACTCGGCTGGGATCCCAGGGAAGCTGCTACAGCCTTGGTCTGACCCCCAGGATCTCCGCCTCCAAGCCAGCCTCTGGCCGAGGGCCTGGTGGAGGAGGCCAGGTAGGCAGCAGCGGGCAGCCAAGCCCGGCGGGCGTCCAGCCTGCAGGGCCTCCTGGTGTCCCATCAGCTTGCAGCCAGAGTGGCCGGGCCAGAGCGGGCTCTTACCAAATAAGGCCTGGGCAGCGGGGCCTGGACAGGCTCAAGCGCTGGCAGCTTGGCGGGGCAGCAAGCCTGCTGGTCCATCTCCTCCTCCTGCGCTGTCCTGCCCACGGAGCCAGCGGGCCCTGCCAGCCGCCCCCGCGGCTCTAAAGACAGCCCACCAGGGCCTGTTCAGCATCCCCTGGGAGAGGAATCTCCATTTAGAACCTATGGAATGTTCCATTTGGAATCTTCAGAAAGTTCCATTTAGAATCCTGACAGAAGCAGAGAGGGAGAGAGACTCCGGGAATTACTGCTAAAGCCACAGGAGCCCAGACTAGGCTTCAGGGAGGGTCTGCCCTCCCCGCAGGGCACACACACCCGCTCCCACACCCCCAGGGACGCCCCGCTGTGGACATTATCTTTGGGTCACCAGTCAACCCCTTCCTGGTGCCTGGTCTGGGAGGTAAAGGGGCAAGGCTGGCCAAGGGGCAGGGGCTAAGGGGCTGGCAGCTCTAGAGCAAACCGATGACCCTTGCCCCGCCCCCGCTGTGTCTGCGGTGAGGAGGGGGTGTGAGCCGCGGGGGGGACCCCACCCCTGAGAACCAGCTTCGCCAGCACCCTGCGGGCTGGGGGCTCGGCATGTCTCAGGAGCCACTGTGGGGCACGGTGCTCCTGAGCCCCCATGCCTCAGCTCTGGCCAGCAGCTCTGCTTCCTGGAGCCGCGGTTTTGCCATCCTTAACATGGGTATAATACAAACCCTGCCGCAGGGCGGCCGCTGGTTTCAGTGGGATAAGGTGCAGGGCGGCTGTCCAGAGGGCTGGCTGAGGATGAAGTGGGGCCTGGGTGCAGGAAGGCGTCCCTCCAATCCAGGGCGGCTGGTGGAAGCAGGGGCCCTCGCTCTGTCCCTGACTGCCTGCCCAGCCTCTCACCATCCCCCCCAGCTTTTTCATTAGCCTAGGTGTGCTGGGCTGGCATTCTGAGGTCTCCTGAGCCACTCCCCGAGTAGGAAGCAGGGGGCTGGTGGAGAGTAGCTGTTATACTGAAATATAACTTGAGTGTGGGTGAGTGTGTGGGGGCCCTGTGCACCCCTGTGAGCACAGCTGTGTGATCATGAATGGATGCAAGTGTTTGGGCATTTGGGCCCCTAGCAGGGGCATGGGGATGCCCGGGGATATTCGTGGTTTCTCTCCTGCCTGTTTTTGAAGTCTTTTCATGAGTTCTGGGCATCTGTAAGCACACTTGCTGGGCCTTCGGGGGCCCTTCCCTAGGATGGGCTGCAGAATAAGGGGCCCAGGGCCAAGTGCAAATGTGTCACCCCCATGTTGAGAAAGTACTAAGACTTTCTGGAGGGCAACAGCAGAGCATGTGCCTCCTCTGAGCATTGGGCAGGGTGGCAGTGTCCTGTGCAATTGCCCAGACCCTGTCCCCTCCCTCTTTCTGGCGGCTTGGGTGAGTATGACCTGGGCCCAGGCCACTGGACACCCCAGCCCAGCAGTGATGGGAGGACCAGCGGAAAGGGTCAGTAAAGTCTATGAAAGTGAACTCCCCAGTCACAGAAGCAACCAGGCGCCCCATGTCAGGACGCACAAGCCCTGAGAGAAGTGCTGCCCCAGCGGTTCTGTCTGAGCCCAGAGTGAGGTCCCCTCTGGGGACCAGCAGGTGTGTGCAGCTTCTGCTTTCAGCCAGCCTGGCAGGTGCTGGCCAGACACTGTGGGTGATGTTGTCTGTGAGCAGGACACCCCCTGTGTGGACGGGATTGGCTCCTGGATGGGGCTGCCTGGGAAGAGCTGGTGAGTGTTGGAGGGGAGGGCAGGAGGGGTCCCGTCGTCCTGAGAGCCCAGAGCCTGTCCTTGGAACAAAGGGAGGCTGCCACCTGATCGCTGCTACCTTTGATGCTGGCCCTTGGAGTGCAGCTTGTGGAGGCAGCCCCACCTCTCTGGAACGTTCTCTGTAATCTCCAGAAACCACCCACCCAGGCATTTTGAAGTGCCCACAGGGAACTCATGGCTGTTCTGTTGAATCTCAGGGATCCAGGCAGATGCTCCCAGGTGCGCCTTCAGTGCTGAGTTCTGAGCTCTGTCACGGTGGGAACTGGGCATGGCTTGCTCACCAGAGTCTCCAAGAGCCTGGTGCTGAAGGGATGAATGACCAGCAACCTGCGGAGGTGGTGAAAAGCAGGATATTTCCCAGCCAGCATCACCAGGACCAGGAGTTGGTATTATCAGCATCCCCCGCTGAGGCTGGGATCACAACCAGCTCGACATCTAGTCATCTGACATTTCATTTTCATGGGACACCTGGTGATTCACATCCATTCGCCTGTTTTTTGATGTAGGAAAAAGATCTTTTCTCTAAGGGTCTGGAGGTGTGCTGACAGGGGTTCCCCCTCATCTTTTTTGCATAAACCACATGCCTGAAGCCTCTTCTGCAGTTTCTTTCTTTAAAGTGTAGAGAGAAAGAATATGTTCCCAGAGGCAACCAACCTGAGGGCTTCTGGGCAGACTCTTACACTCTAAAGTAAACTTGTCCTTTTAATTAATTCATCAACAGAGATTTATTTGGCACGGGACTGCATGCCAGCTCCGGCACGAGATGAGGAGAAACCAGAGGGAAAATGAGCTAAAGGACGTTCTGCTTGAGTGTGGCCAGGTAGGTTTCCTGTCTTACAAACATAGTACCTGCAGCCACACAGCATGGACACGATGCTGTGGCCTGCAGGACCCTGACTGCAGCAGAAGTTAACTAGAAGAGGTGGGGGGAGGGGTGTCATTGCTGGTTAACGCTCAGGCTTTGGTGCCAGTGAAAGTGGGTTCAGATCCCACCTCAGGGACATTTTGAGGGACCTTTCACCCTCCAGGCATAGGTTCCCTCAACCTCTGAGGGCTGTACTCTGCTGTGTGCCTGTTGCCCTCTCAGAGCCTCAGTTTCTCATCTGTGAAGCGGGAACAGTAAGAGTGCTGCTCATTCCGTCAGTCCCTTGACAAATACCTATGGAGCGCCCACCATGGGCACGTGCCGTCCTGGGCGCTGGGACACAGCCGTGAGCCAGCCGCCCCCGCGAGTCCTGAGAACTGATGTGCCAGTGTGCCATCCAGGCTCCCTCTGCGAGCCGATGTGGGATGAGTCAGGGCAACGGCGCTGGGCTGCAGGTGGGATTCAGCAAAATGTGTCCAGTTTGAGGTTGCATTATGTGTCCTCAGCATGCCGGGCTGGTCAGGGGCCTGAGGGCAGCAGGGAGAGGGCTGGGGGGCCCGAAGGAGGACAAAGGGCCGGAGAGAGGAAGAGAGGAGCCATCCTTCTCTGCAGAAGGAATGACAGTTGTCAGGCCCTTGCAGACTGGCCAGTCACACACACAGCTCTTCTGTCCTGTGGGCCTAGGACCACCCTGTGAGGCAGGGGCCCCGTGTGACCAATGAGGGCACAGGCTCCCAGGGTGAAGTCACTCACCTAAGATGACACAGCCCGTGAGAGTAGAGCCAGGTAGCGTCCCAGCACAGGTCACCCTCATCATGGAGGGAGGGGGAGGAGAGAAGGGCAGGGGAAGAGGTGACCTGCTCTGTGGGGCTCTGTGGGTCCCTCCCGGTCTTCCTCGAGGGGAGGGGCCTGGCTGGGTGCAGTCCTCTCTGAGGGCTTTGCTCCCTGGAACTCAGGCTCAGCCAGGCTCTCAGGCAAGTCTTGGTCTGGCCCTGGACTCTCCAGGGCATGTGGAGGCTGTTACTGTTCCCTGAAGATGGTGCCCCCACCTTGGAGTTGATTCCCTTCCCCAGCCAGGGCCCTGGCATCTCTGGAAGCCAGGGGAGACTATTTTTAAAACTTACAGCTGGTTTTTCTCCTGGTTGCTGGTATGTACATGTAGAAACCCTGGGTTTGTTCTGCCGGCACCTTGAACAAACTTTTCAAATGAGCAGGGATGGTTCTTAGCAAATGACTCAGGGGAAATAGGAGGCTCTGTCCCCACCAGGACTCTGGGAGGAGGAAGAGGTGAAAGAGTCACATCGGGAGGAGCTCCCAGGGTGGGAGATAGCAGGGATTCAGGGATTAGGCATGTTCCAAAGAAGGCATAGACTGAAGGTTGGGAGGCCAGAGTTGGATTTTCAACAGCTTTGGGCCCTGTTGTACTCACTTCCCTTCTTAGTAGTGGCAAAATGTAGGGCTTGAGAGCATGGATTTTGGAGTGAAACATACCTTGTTTTGAGTCCTGACTGGCTTTTGTATGATTGTGTATCAGTTAGCTATTGCTGTGTAACAAATGATCCCCAAACTCAGTTGCTTAAAACAACATGATTCAGTGGGTTGACAATTTAGCTGGAACCATCAACTGCATAGTTCTTCTGCTCTGAGCTGGGATCCCTCATACACTTTGGTCAGCTGCTGTTTCTGGGACAGCTGGAAGCTCTCTTTCTGGGGAGTGGTTCACTATCATCTAGGGTGATGGGGACAACTGAGTAATGTGTCTCTTATTTTCTGATGGAGACAGGAGTCTAAGAGAGCAGAGGCACACAAGGCTGTTTGAAGTCTAAGCTTAGATTTGGCGCAATATAGTTCTAGCACATTTGTTATCAAAGCCAGTCACAAGAGCAACCCAGGTTCAAGAGGTAGGAGAACAAACACTACCTTTTGATGGGTTGTAGCTTCACTTTGAAAAGGATTTTGAATACAGGGAGGGATGGAGAATTGGGGTCTTCTTTTTTTTAAAATCAGTGTACTACACTGGGGATTTATGTAGCACCCTGAGCCATTTTCCTAATCTGTACTGTGACCAATATGGCTGTTGTGTGAACTAAGTGAGGTGATGTATGTGAAGACACTACAGAGTAAGTGCTGAAAGCTGGAGCTGTCATGATTCCTTGAGGGGAAGGATTACTTTCTGTCTCTCCCCTGTATGTCTATGAAACATGGCTCAGAGAGCTGCTTTATGGAGAAACACTGTCCAAAATGAGAACCTGTAGTTGCAAGAAACCCACTAGGGCTGGGAGCCTTTCAGTAAATATTTCTTCCATCCTCTCAGTTCCACCAGACTGAAGTTGACCAGATGTAAATATTCACTGAACACTGTCTGTCCATCCCCTGGGCCATGTAGGTGTCTTCAAGAACAGCAAGCACACACACACGCTCACATGCACATGTTCACATAAATCATCTCACAACTACATGCGCACATACACGTATGTTCTCACACATTCCCCAACTCACAGGCAGTCATGCATAGTCACATGCAGGCACACTTGGGAATTTCACATACTTACTTATATACATACACACTCTCACACCCTCTTATACACTCACACATGCACAATGTGTCTATATGTCTATATTACATGCATGCATTCTGTAGCACACCCACACCCTCTTGCATGCACGTGCTGTACACACCCATATTTGTACACTCACTCTTTCACAGCTCTCCTGGCTTGAGTTCCATTGCCTTGGTTGGCCATGGCCTTACAGACAGAGGAGTGGTGCAGGGCAAAGGCCAGGGTCAGGAGATTCCTTTCCACCCAGCTCGACCACCAGGTCTCTGTGTGCCCTTGGGTATGTTCCTGTCTGTCTCTGGGCCTCAATCGCCTAACGACAACAATCAGCATTTGTTGAGCATGCCTGACATGCTTTTATCTAAAACTCACAGCAGTCTGGCAGATGGGAAACTGAGGGTCAGAAAGAGGAAGCCACCTGCCAAGGTCAGCCAGGCCATAACCAGGAGACCTGGAGTTCAAACCCAGGTCTAACCTGACTGTGCAGCTCCCCTCCTGGCCACTTTGCTGCACAGCTCCCAGGCTCGCTTTATCCTCCAGTGAGGGAATGCTATTGTAATCCCACGCCACAGGTGGGGAAACAGGCTGGTGGAGGGCAGTGGTGCCCCTGTCGTCTGCCCTCTGCTCACACTGGACATCTTTTCTTGCCTCATTTGTGTTGGGTTTGCTTCTGCCTCTGGGCCCTCGCACCTTCTGTTCCCTCTGCTGGGTCAGTGCCTGTGCATCCTGTGGGTCTCACCTCAAACCCACTTCGTCAGGAAGCTTCCTCTGACACCCAAAGTAGACTAGACTCTCCGTTTGGATACTTACTGTGTGAGTGTTCTGCTTGCTGCCGTAACACATTACCACAAATTTTGTGGCCTGAAATAGCACCATTTATGGGCTTACATTTCCACGGATCAGAATCACAAGGGCTCAGTCGGCCCTCTGCTCAGGATTTCACGAAGTCAGATTCAAGGTGCTGGCTGGAGAGGCCCTGGGGAGCACCCGTTTCCTGCTCGGTAAGGGTGCTGGCGGAGCCCAGGGCTCTGGCTCACCGTCCCGTCCTCTGCCTTCAAGCCCGCGGCAGCAGGCCGAATCTTTGTCACTTTGCCATCTCTGCTTCTCTCTTTCAGTTCTCTCTTCCACTTTTTTTTTCTTACTTTTTTTTTCTTGCGATGTAATTGGCGTATCACATATATATGTGCTGTCTTCCACTTTTCAGGATCTTTGTGACTACATTGGACCCAGCTGGGTAATCCAGGATTATCTCTCTCTCTCAAGGTCAGCTGTGGAGATAAACAAGCCCTGGGGATGTCCTGTACATGGTGACCTGAGTTACTAATGCCATATTGCATACTTTAAAGTTGCTAAGAGAGTTGATCTTAAAGTCCTCACCACAGAAAAAGATGACAAAATTTTTGTAATTATATATAGTGAGAGATGCCAACTGGATTTACTGAGGTGATCATTTGGCAACATATGCAAATATGGAATCATTATGTTGTAACACGTGCAACTAACACAATGTTACATGGCAATGATACCTCCATAAACAAAGATTTCCTCAATGTAAACTGAAGCATAGAATAAAATAAGGGAGTAGAAATTTAAAATTAAAAAAAGAGAAACGACATTTGTTCCCTTAAACGTGGGTAATTCTAATTTGCCTAGACTGTTCACTCACTTCATAATTTCTTTATACTGTTTCCTGCCTAAGTGACTCCACAGCTGTAAGGCTGTGCATACAAAATTGTCACATATACTAACTGTACCAAATGTTTAAAATGAAGAAGAAAACAAATCTAGCATGAAAAACAAAGGTCAGCTGTTTAGTAACTGTAACTGTATTTGCAGCCTTAATTTCCCTGTTGTCATAGAGCCTCGCATATCACAGGTTCTGGGGACTAGGGTGTGCATATCTTTGGGAGACCATTATTCTGCTTTCCACACTTACCTTATTGATCTTTTCCATCATGTGCCCTTATCAAATTTGTCATTGTATATTCACACCATGACTGGTGGTTGGAGGGACTGAACACAAATTCCCCGAACAAACAGCAGGCCTAGGATTTGAACCTGCACCTTTGCATTGTTATTTATCAATAAAAAAGTTTAGATGTCACTAGTCATCAGAGAAATGCAAATTAAAACCACAGTGAGATATCACCTCACACCAGTAAGGATCGGCCACCATCAAAAAGACAAACAACAACAAATGTTGGGGGAGGTTGTGGAGAAAGGGGAACCCTCCTACACTGCTGGTGGGAATGTAAATTAGTTCAACCATGGTGGAAGGCAGTATGGAGATTCCTCAAAAACTCAAAATAGAAATACCATTTGACCCAGGAATTCCACTCCTAGGAATTTACCCAAAGAATGCAGCAGCCCAGTTTGAAAAAGACAGATGCACCCCTATGTTTATCACAGCACTATTTACAATAGCCAAGAAATGGAAGCAACCTAAGTGTCCATCAGTAGATGAATGGATAAAGAAGATGTGGTACATATACACAATGGAATATTATTCAGCCATAAGAAGAAAACAAATCCTACCATTTGCAACAACATGGATGGAGCTAGAGGGTATTATGCTCAGTGAAATAAGCCAGGTGGAGAAAGACAAGTACCAAATGATTTCACTCATATGTTGAGTATAAGAACAAAGAAAAACTGAAGGAACAAAACAGCAGCAGACTCACAGAACCCAAGAATGGACTAACAGTTACCAAAGGGAAAGGAACTGGGGAGGAATGGGTGGGAAGGGAGGGATAAGGGGGGGGGAAGAAAGGGGGCATTATGATTAGCATGCAGAATGTTGGGGGTGCATGGGGAGGGCTGTACAGCACGGAGAGGACGGGTAGTGATTCTACAGCATCTTACTGCGCTGATGGACAGTGACTGACTGCAATGGGGTATGTGAGGGGGGGTGTCTAGTAAACATAATGTTCTTCATGTAATTGTAGATTAATGATACCAATAAAAAAAAAAAAGGTTAGATGCTCCGTTTCTCCCCTGCTCCCATCAGGACTGTTGTGTCCAGTTGCACAAGTTGTGCACTCCACAGCCCCAGGGCTCCACTCATACCTCAGACTCTGTGATCCTTGCAATTGGGTGGGTGGGGTCAGCCTTTAGGCCCTTGGGCTATGGATCTGCTCCTGAACCTGGAATGCTGTGTTCTTAACCTTGGCTGCCCTTAGAGTCACCCAAAGGGCTTTTCAAATCCTAATGCCCAGACCTGTTGCTTTAGAGTCCCTAATCCCTGGAGTGGGCCCAGCATCTGCAAGTCTAAGGCTCCCCGGTGACTCCAAGGTTGGGCTGAGCTGCGAGCGTCCCTCTGGCTGGTCAGAGAGAAAGTTACTTAACTCAAGGATGGGGAGCCCGCTTGGTTGACTTTGCATAATGAGGCCCGGCAGGTGCTAGTGCCACGTGCCTTCCTCTCCCGCAGGACCCACTTCTTCACTCGGTGTGGCCGCGGGCTGGCTGTCAGGTTTCCTGTGGTCAGTCGCATCCGCATCAGGGAGCTGCCCCAGTGGCATTAGGGCTGCTTTGTGACCAGCCAATATTTGGCTGTCGGTGAACATGGGCCTCTCTTGCCCTTCAGCCCTGCTCCACTGAGGGTGGCAGTCGTCTCTCTGGGTGACCACCTGGTTGCCGAGAGGCAGGGGGAGCATGGGGGCCAAGCAGAGGGACAGTGGGTTCCCTCCTGGAGTGCGTCATCGCGTCCCTTGCTTGGGAGCCACGTGAGGGTTGCCGAATCCTGTTTTCTTTGGCCGCAGTCAGTTTGCTGGCACATTAGTTGGGGAGTTTTCCTCCTAGGGGAGCGGGCGCAGCTTCTGCAGTCTGGGTGGCCAGCTGCTGAGGGCAGGGGATGAAATGTGCCGGCGGCCAGGATGAGATTCGGCAGCGCGGGCTGTCCGGGGCAGTGTCCCGCCGACACTGCGTGGCCAGCACGCTTCCGCTCCGCCTCCCTTCTGGGACCAGCTCAAGGGAGGAAAGAGGAGGCGGCACGGAGGACTTGAGGATGGAAGCCAGCAGGAGGCGGGTTTGCGGACTGCCCATGTCACGGGCTGTGAGAAGTTCTCACGCTCCTCTGTGTGTCTCGGCGTGAGGCTCTGGCCCCTGGGCCATGCCCCAGCACTGGAAGGTGTGGCCCCTGCGAGGGCGCCAGCCCAGCGGGCACCCTGGCAGGTGCTCGTGCTTCCCCAGGGTTACCCCAAGCTGGTCGTCACCCCCGGGGCCCGTCCACAGCCACCCTGCCCCGGGCATTCATCCCTGGCTGCCCCCGAGGAGTTATGTTGTTCGTGCCTCTTGGCTGGGGGCCTGGCATTCAGTCTCTTTCTGTTTCCTCTCGAGGGGATGGGGAGACTCGGGGTTTGCTCAGGGCAGAACAGAACCGTGGCCTCCTGGGCATCTTCATGGTCATGTGGCAGACCGGCCCCCTGGGCTGCTAACGGCCCCCTCCCTGTGGCCCCGGGCCCGCGTGGTGCTAGCTGTCTGTTGTGTCCCCTGTCCTGGCATGGCTGGATGGGGCCAATCAGACGCTGCAGCTTGTCCCAAGAAGGGGTGGAGGGACTGATGGCGGGCCGCCCCCCAGCGCCGGGAATTTGTTTCCATGATAACAGAGACCGCACTTGCTGGCACTGCTCTCAGCCTAGACAAGCATAGGTACATTTGTCCTCAAACAGCCATGGAAACCAGGTAACCCCTGTTGTATGCATTTTGTAGAAGAGAAAACCAAGACGTGGGGAGGTCAGTTAACAAGCCCAGGGCCCCTGAGCCCTGGGGGGAGAGACGGTGCTGGGTGCAGGCCCGGACTCCCTGGGCCCCCGTGAAGAGGGCCGCTGAGTCTGATGTCGCGGCCTGGCCACAGAGGTCATGGGGGCTGCTTTAGCTGCTCAAGAGGAACCGGAAGTTTGGAAACCACACTCTTATCCGCTCCCCACAAGAGCTGCAACTTGGCCGTGCTCATGAACAATTCAAGTGGGTGGGTCTTTATTCACTTTCTTGTTCACTCCACTCATTCATTTGTCCAGCCCGTGTTCTCTGAGGCCTTGCTGTGTGCCAGGTTCTCTGCCCAAGTGCTCAGCCAAGCTCCTTGTCCTGGAAGTCCAGGTCCAGAGGGGAGACTGGTAACCATCGGTGAGCACGTGGAGTATGCACGACAGCAGGAAGGAGCAGAAAGGCTATGAAAGTGGGCAGGACACTGGGAGGGAGGGGGCCCAGGAGCCCAACAGAGAGGGCGTTCAGGGCAGGCCCCTGGGGACGTGTCATCTGAGATCTGAGCAGAGACTCGGGTGGAGAGAGGGACGGAGTAGGCAGAGGAGAGGTCTTTAGTTTTCAATGCTGCATAACAAATTATACAAACTTAGTGGCTTAGACAACACCCGTTTGTTATCTGAGGATGCCCGTTGGTCAGGAGTCGGCATGTTTTAGCTGAGCTCTCTGCTCAGGGTCTGACACGTCTGCAGACAAGGGGCTGGCTGGGCTGTGTCCTCATCTGGAGGCTCAGCCAGGGAAGGCTCACCCCTAAGCTCCCTCAAGCTGTTGGCAGGTTCAGGGCTGAGGCGCTGTTGTCCCGCCAGCTGTTGACTGGGGACTGCTCTCAGCTTCTCGGCACCACTTACAGGTCCTTGACCACAGACCCCCCTCCTTAGGCCCCCTCGCACTTTCCATCTCTGATTTCAGAAGGGGCTGGTCCCTTTTAAGAGCTCACCTGATTTGGCCAGGCCCACCCAGGATAGTAATTTAGTCATGGGAGTGGTATTCCACCATATTCCTAGTCCTGCCTACATCCAAGGGAAGGGAATTCAGCAGGGTTCCTGCAGTAGGGGGCGGCATACTGCTTCCCACCAGGGATACAGTTTCTTCTGGGCTATAAGGGTAGACAAAACCTCTCTTTGGAAGGAGTCCTGACTATGTAATGCCTTAGAAAAAACAGTTGGTGAGAGTCAAGGACTCCTTTCAAAGTCTTCCTTTGGCCAGCTTGGGGAATTTCTCCAAGTCCTGGGCAGCTTTGTTTTTGAGTTCCTGTGGATTCTGCTCATGCGTGGTTGCATCCTTTATAACAGGGGGAGACGGTATATTGCTCAGAGCTCTTTCTGTCATGAATGGCACAAAGGCTGGCTGATACAAATGACTTTAAGTGGAACTGAAATGGCCTGGGCAAGCTTCAGGCACAGCTGGATCTAGGGGCTTCAGTGCTGTCATCCTTGACTTCTCTCCACGTCTGGCTTTGTCATCCTCTCCAGTCAGCACCCGGCAGCTCAAGGTCCACCTCTCCTGCTAATAGAAAGTCAGATTCTTTTTTCCCAATAGTTTCACTGAATAATCAATACAGGTCATGTTCCCACCCCTGAACCAATCGCTGAGGCCTGGAGGATGGAATAAGATGACCACCCTGAGTCACACATCCATCCTTGGACCCTGGGAGTGGGGCTTTTCCTGCCCAAACCATAGGGATTGAAGTGGGGTAGGGGTCCTAAGAAAATTCTAAGTGCTCTTTCCATGTGTGGGATGCATATGAGAGACAGGAAGGGTGCAAAGAGTCGCGTCAAAAACAGAAGTTGGTGGAAGAACATTAACCTTCTGAGCACGGGCCTTGTGATTGCCTGGGGGGCCCGCCTGTGAAGATTCCCCTGCATGGGGGGAGGAAGCCCAGAATTTCCCTCTGAAGGTCTAAATTCACTTGACTTAGCATTGCGTCAGCTGATTCTTCCTGCCCCATCGTGGTGTCCTTGTCACCTCGGCTGCTCGCCCTGGACCCCTGTTCTCTGTGGGCTGCAGTAAGAAGAAAGACACAGACCCTGCTCACCTGGGCCAGAGGGAGGGAGATGGCTTTGCTGGGCCCAAAGCCTCATTTCAGAGACGGCAGACCCCGAGTGTGACTTGAATACTGCTTTTGCCGTTGACCAGCTGTGGGCGCCTTGAGAGGTGGTTCCTCTCTGACCCTCAGACTCCTCCTCTATAGGGTGTAGACATTGATAGTGGCATGTCACAGAAGCATTGCCAGGTTAGTTGAGCCCACATAGAGCAGCATCAGGGTGGGCTCTGTGGTTGCTCAACATGTCTGCTAGGAGGACTTTTACAGGCATAGGGTGTGCTTGGTAGGGGTGCTGTCCGTCTGTAACCACCCCAGAGTCTGAACACCCTGAGAATAAAAAGGGGCCTGA